CACAGTAATTTTGGGGTTAATTTATAAACAATGCTTAACTAAGGACTGCTTCTTAATAATAAATGGAACTGCAACACTTCAAGGTATTCAACTGTCATGTCTCAAGAACTGTTTGTCAACTATCAAAAATATTAAACCAATCATTCCAAATAATTATCATTTAGTATTCCAGAAATTTCGTTCATAATAATTCCTAAGTTTTCAGTAATCCGTAATCCTAGTTCCCAATTCATCTCGATATTAATGCCTGCTGAATGAAACAAGATACTGCCTTCAGGTTCCACTATTCTCAAGGCATGGCCAATGTCTGTCTTCAAACTGGGCAACGATACCAGGAGAGACTATGCACCTTGCCCCATGACAGGGATTCATCTTGAAATGTTCAAGTAATATCTTGTAATGTCCACACACCCGTTCGCCTTTCTACTTAATCCATTACAAAAGGTGCTCCACTGTGTTTTCTGTGATTTTTTGCAGTGACCAAGTACCAACACACCTGCAAAAAAATGCCCAGCTACTACACTGTGGTATGAAGCAACATCTAGTTATATAGGGCACAATCATAACACGAATTTCTCGGATTCTGTAGTAAGATAATCAACACATGACAACGCTAATATTAAAGTGAAACAATCTCCAAATTTTAAATAACTGTAATTACCTATATACAGCATACCTTAAAAAAAGTTACCACAACACGAAGACTTTCCAACAACTTGCCACAAAATGACTTCCAAAATAAGTCTCAAAAAAGAGCTGTGCTCTCCCTCAACGTCTCACAGTTATAGAATGGCATTCTCTATCGTGCACGTGTTTCATCTCTGTTGCAGAATGGCAGAACTGAAAATAGACAATATGCAGGCAAAGCATCGAGTATTATGCTAGTACAGATATCTCACTGAGACATCGTTTCACTGCTATAATCATCAAAACCACTTGCCCCAACCTCTGCACCTTCCAAATTTGCTCAATTTGCTCAAAACTGATTCTATACTGTCTTCCCTGAAACAATCAGTATAAAACGCCAAGAGCTGGGGAGATACTCATACCTGCACATCACAACATTCCCAAACTACAGGTAGAAAGTTCTGTGTCACATATAATGACTTACAGTTGCCGGCAATTCTTACAACTCTAAGACATTAAAGTTTCTCTAATAAACCTCGTGTAGAAACAGATGGCTTCAAGTAGGCAAACAACTTCCAGCATCCAGAGTCTGGTCAGGGAACAAAAAGCATCCCTTATCAGCAAATGTCATAGATTCCTGAGTAGGATAAAAAAGGCCACAAATCTTCACCATGTACTGTTGCATATGCCACCACTGTTGAGCTCTAAAAGCATAATACAAAACTTTCCTTCCACACAAACAATCACTTTGGGAATGTAACAATACAAAATATAAAGAAATTTTTTTTTAAGAATCTTAAAATATGGAGTTCAAGTGTGTCAATGTGTGGAGATAAACATATAGTTCAGAACAAGTGGACAACACCACTTATTATGTGGAACAGAATTTCACAAAATTAATGAAAATTGTAATAGGAAATTTAATGGATTTTATTATATTAAGTGTGATTTTAGCGCATATTAATGCAGTGTAGCAGTAGCATCTTCAGTAACGAAACACGTTACAATATTAAGACACTTGAAGATGGCCACCTAGGGCCAAAACATGTTGTATTAAAAGTTTAAGTGGAAGAAAAGGGAACAATTTCTTGCATTATTGATGGACTGTATTATACACAGACATTTTACACTGAAGTGCCAAAAGTCATCGATAAGTACCTAGTATCATGCAGGACCCCCTCTAGCCTG